TTCGCAAGATTTTATGTAACGAGTCGCGCGTCCGCATTCGATCATTGCGGAACGTTTATTTAATCGAACCACTCACGTTGCCGAGATTGTTAGCATCGCAGAAAACTCTCAATAAACAAATCGGCTTTCGAGCGATCATGTCGTGGACGATCAGCCCGGAGATATTGGGTGTCCTGAATATCCTCGACCATGTGTGAACTCTTGGGCCAAGAGAGCCATATTTTTCACATCTATTTGAATGCTAAGACGTCCTTTTCATTCCAAGTTCTGTTTCTCTTATACAAACATCCCTTATATTAAGAGAAAAATATTTGGTATTTGTAACTATAATCAATAAAAAAATATAATTTTTTTGGTTGTTCCAACACGAAGATAGTAGTATATTATTACTAAAATTACAGTACAATTGACTAAAAAATATTGTCTTCATCATAATTTATAGTCATTACTTCTCTGTGTGATTATAGTTACAAATAACAAACATTTTTTTCTCAAAGTATAAAGTTGTTTTAGCTTAAGAATCAGAAAGGCGTACTTAGCTTTCGAAAATACACGTCAAGAATACGGCCGTATTTGGGCAGCCGGCTATATGTGATAATACTATATAATATAATACTATCTACATATACGATGTATGCTATCTATTTTACATAATTATACAGGACGTACATATCATGTATAAATGGTGTTATTTCAACACTTGGAAACGGCGAATGTAAACTCAATATAGAATTGTCAAAGTAACATAACGACAATGTGTTAAATAAACGTATATGAAAAATTTAACACTAACTTAACTTTCTAATTAACACTAATTTAACTTCTGTACAGATCGATTTCAAGGCAAATATAAAATGTTTTTATCGTGTACGTTGTTGTTGCTAACAATACATGCTAATAATACATGCTAATAATACATGCTAATAATACATGGTATATCTAAAAAAAATATAATCTTATTTTTAGCGGGATCCTCTTATATAGGACTTCAAGAGGATTCTTCTAAAAAAAAAAAAAAATTCAAAAAGAAAAATATTCCAAAAGTAAAAAAGTTCTATTTGGTGTAAAGTGCTGTTTCCTGTAATTCTATATTTCAAGGGCAAAATCTTACCGAAAGAGTATTTATTCCCGAATATTTCTGTCAGAAGATTAATATACATCTTCTAATGAAATGAGATATTAATTAGGAATTAACTAAAAAGATCTTGTTGTTGAAGCGAAAATTTGATATACCAGACCATAATTTTATTAAAATGGGATTGACCAAATATTTGGTAATTGCAACCAAAAAATTTAATTATCATTTTGCTTTCTCAATAATGAAAACACAACATGTGCTTGATACAAGTAAGAAACATATATAATGCCAATTAAATCATAAGAAAGAGAGAGAGTGAGGGGGAAAGAGAGAAAGAAAGAACACATGCTATTTCTTTCTTTCTCTTTCGCTACTTGGAAGTCGCTTCCATACGAAGAGTTCGTTCGCTCACGGAGAAAGAAGTTTCAAGAAGTATCAAGAAAAATTCGGACGTACGTCACACACGCTGGACAATTTTATCCTTCCACACGTTAATATTGCACAATGGTAATATTAATATGACACCATAACATCCTATCGCTTCTTATTAGCTTTAAAACTTTTGTCAGTTATTTGAACATTTGAACAATACAAGGAGTTTCATACGCACACATACATAATTTCGTTAAATTTATGAAATGTTTTAAAATTTCTAAAGGAAGAGAGAATTGTGATATATATATATATATATATATATATATTTTTTTTTTTTTTTTTTTTT